GGAGATTTTGCAAAAAAAAAAAAATGTATTCAAAAATGTAAAATAAAAAAATACAAATTATAAAAATATTTTAAAAATACATTATTTTTTTACATTTCTTTTTATTGTTTTTTAATGTTTTTTAATGCATTGTAACATTTTTATTACACCAGTTTGAAAACCCCTGCCTTAACTGATCCTTATTAAAAATGTTAATCCACCCTACAATGAAAAATCTGCCATCATTATCTCGCCCTCATCTCATTTGTTCATCTTCACACAGAATATGTGAATCATAAATGTGAATGAGATTTGACAGCGGTGGCGGAGGGCAAGACTTCCAATGATTAATAACTTATAATAACTTTGGTCTTTTCCTCACAAAGTCATCATGTGGCTTCAGAAGACTTGAAGTAGGTAATTCTGAATATTTTCATGATAATATTGGCACTTTTTGAAGCTTGATGGCCCCAGGTCACTGTTGGTTGTCACTGCATGGAAAAGAGCAGCGTCAACATTTCAACCCAACATCTCCTTTTGGGTTCTAAAGGAGAAAAATAGTCATACAGATCTGAAACTACATATTTAAACTATACAGTGTAAATGATAAAAATTTTCATTTTAACCATAGTTGTCTAAACAGACACAATCCATGCAGCGAAAAGCCTGATGTTTTACTACTGATCCGATCTAATTTCCTCAGTCCCAGCGGTGGACAGCTGTGAGGTAAAAGTAGGGTCATGTTGCCTGTACGTGATCGCTTGCTGCTTGAACCGTTCAGTTCACTGTTAAAGCTGGATAACAGGCACACCACCACTTGGCCTTGTGGGTTATCTGTGCCTTTTAACAGAGCAGGCTGACCGAATGAACCATCCTACGATATCCCAGAATTCCCTTGAGGTGGCACAGCCGTGGGAGAGGGAAACAAATACAAGGTTTGTCAGTGGACTCTTGAGGGCTGTAAAATTACGGTATTGGTACAGGAAGTGTGTGTGTGTGTGTGTGTATACCTGTGTGGGAGCTGTTTGTTTTGTCTAAGTGTGTGTGGCCTCTGGAGGGTTATTCACTCACGGACCCTCACCAAATAACAGTCTGATCCAAGCAAACCTTGAAATTGTAAGATTGGCGATCAAGATGTATGTATACATTTGCTGTTTGTGTTCGTTATGAAAGCAGAAACAGAGAAAAGGGGAATTCGAGTAAATCTAATCTGAACAGTGATGGATCAGCGTCCGTGTGGCAGCTTGAAAGCCAGGAGGGGGAAAAAAATTGATGCGTGAAGTGTTGGCAAAAACAATATAATCTCTACTTCCAGAACAAAAAATAAATAAATAAATGTACGTGAGGCAAAGCAAACAACATTTGAAATAAATCACCCAAAAATGAAAAATCTGTCACACTCAAGTTGTTCCAGACGTGCATGAATTTATTTTTTCTGTTGAACACAAAAGAAGATATTCTGACGAAAGTTTTTTTTTTCTTTTTTTTCCAATGGCTACCAGCCACTGTTTGGTTACCAACATTCCTCAAAATATCTTCTTTTGTGTTAAAGGATTAGTTCACTTCCAGAATAAAAAATTCCTGATAATTTACTCACCCCCATGTCATCCAAGATGTTCATGTCTTTCTGTCTTCAGTCACACAGAAATTAAGGTTTTTGAGGAAAACATTCCAGGATTTTTCTCCATATAATGGACTTCAATGGTGGCCAACAGGCTGAAGGTCCAAACTGCAGTTTCAGTGCAGCTTCAAAGGACTCTACACAGTCCCAGCCGAGGAATAAAGGTCTTATCTAGCGAAACCATCTGTCAGTTTCTAAAAAAAATAAAAATGTACATACTTTTTAACCACAAATGCATGTCTTGCACTAGCTCCGCAATGCACGTCTGCAAATACACGCATGATGTAATCACGTTGGAAAGCTCACGCGCAGTTAGCTCTTCGTCTGTGTGCTGCGGTTCAAAAAGGTAGGGTAGGGTGAAAAACTCCATCTCATTTTCTCCTCCAACTTCAAAATTGTCCGGCATCGTTGTTTCACCATTTTTTGTAAAGGGCATTTGACTTTCTTTGCATGTTCACTTTGTATGTAAACACTGCGTCGGTACTTCCGCCTACGTCATGCGTGACCTTTCCAACGTGACTACGTAATGTGTGAAGTCGAGCTACTGCAAGACGAGCATTTGTGGTTTATAAATGTTTTTTTGGTTTTTTTTTAAGAAAATGACCGATGGTTTCGCTAGATAAGACCCTTATTCCTCGGCTGGGATCACGTAGAGCCTTTTGAAGCTGCATTGAAACTGCAGCTTGAACGTTCAAACCATTGGCCACCATTGAAGTCTATGCAATTAAAATGAATATGGACTGAAATGCCATAAAAGCATCATAAAAGTGCCCCATTCCTCTCATATGTACTATATTAATTTGCCTTCTGAACTCATACAACAGATTTTTGTGAACATTTTGTGACTAAAATGCAAGTCTGCTAACAGTCAACAAGTTGAGAACCATATAAGCCCAATTCATCGACAGATCATTCACTGAAAATATTTAGTTCAAAAGAATGATTCATTCAAGAATGATATTGGACGTCACTACCTCTCTCACAAACTCAGCAAGGGGAAGAGCTAGAAGAGCTTAAATTTCAGTCTGTTCCTCACACAAAGCTATTGAGAAGACTTGGAATATTTTTAATCGTTACTGAACTTTGAAAGCTCTAGTTTCCATTTATTTTAATTGCACAGAAAAGAGCAACCAGTTGCATTATTCAAAATTCCTTCTTTTGGAAGAAAGAAAGTGAGTCACGAGGGTTTGGAACAACATGAGAGTGAGTAAATGATGACAGAATTCTCATTTTGGGTGAACTATTCCTTTAATGTTACATTGATAAGTATTCAGCAGACTTGTGTTTAATTTAATAAAGCAGGGAATGCAAAGAACAAATAAAAAAGCAATGATAAAAAGCCATCTGTAGCTCAATCCACTTCACTAGAATTAATTCCACACTTCTAAAATAATGCCTCTCGCACGATTTTTATTTGTTAAATGTAGGATTAATGCGAGCAGACACCCGCTGGATGAATGTAACTTTCTACACAACATCACGATTCAATAAATAATTTAGACAAAACAAGATAAAAAGTAGAAATACTGTCCACAACAGTGGTAAATCAAAATATAGCACTCCAGAACAGTGCAATTTCCATTTCATGACACATCTGTCATGGTTTTTCACAGCAATTTCATATCTCCAAGTTTAATTACACATACTGTCATTTTACCTCTTTTGATTGCATCAGGTTGAATTGTTCTTTCCGGTAATTCAAAGAGACAGTGACTGTCAGACACCGGGGGGAAATTCCGCCCTCCCTTTTATGCTTTTCATCTTATTGAAAATTTAAATTGACATCTAATTGACCATTTCTGTTTCCTTAATAATCGTTTTTATTCTTACTGTGCATAATTTTTCAGATATTTAAAGAGAGGAAAAAAAAAACTTTTTTATAATATTTCCTAATCAAGAAAAAATATATATACAATTAATTACTAATTATATATCTTTTTTTCTTGATTATGCAATATTATGAAAACTT